ATTATATATTTATTATCTGTTTTGAGATAGGCCAGTTAAATCAATTGTATTAGCTGTGACCTACTGGCAGATAGAGTACATTATTATGTTTGTGTGATGCAAACTTTGAGACTGATTTAAGAAATTGTTTAAAATACTCTGTACAGTGGTGACACTATGTTAATATCCTATCTGGTACTTTAACTGTTAATTTAACTTGTAATTTAACTGAGATATTAACTTGTACTATGGCTTGTACTCTAATTTGTATTCTAGTGTTACAGATTAGCAAGAATTTAAAAAATCTAAATAATATTTAATTTGTACTACAGCCTAGTAAATTGATCTACTGTAATACTATATATAATAATAAGAAATAATTAATAGATAATAATAAAATAATAAATATACAATATAAAATATATATAAATAATAATAAAAAGATAAAGATAAAATTAAAGGTAACAGGACTGATATCTGCTTATATATTTTGATTTAAAGTCAAAACACCTGTTGCCAAATAAAATTTCTTGATAAAGAATAAACTGTTCAAATACATGAACAACATTTCTTCATGGTGAACCTAATACATATGATATAATCTTTGTAACAGGTTGTTTTTGCTAGATATTAAAAACTTTGTAGTAGATGTTCCTTTTTCTCCTATTCAAACATTTATTTATATTAAGATGCAGTGAAATATATGGTACATGATTCAAAGACCGACGCATTAGTTAATAATGTACTTTGCTCCGATTAATATGATTTTCTTATAAATACAAATTATTAACATTTGCTCAAATAAGTTTTTTATAAAAACAGGATAAGCATCTGAAAATGTTTGTTGAGGTTCTGGTTTTGGGGATACACAAATTACCATAGTAGTAGAGATTCTTGCCTATAGAATCAGAATTTGCATTCAATTGACAAAGAACATATAAACCACTATTTATACCATTGATTCATATGTTAATTTTTTAAAGCTGAGGTTCCTGCAACATATTGGAAAGAGGTCTGTTACAAAAACAGTTAAAAGATAATCAGGGAAGATGAACATTAGTCACAATTCATAATAATATGGTAAACAGGGTGTTTTATTATAAAAAGTTTATATAACATTTAAGATAAGAATGAATAAACATTTTATTTCATTGATTTTATTATTTATTTATTTATTCATTTTTAATTTTTATTTGTTTTTTTTTTATTTTATTTTTTATCATTTTTTTATATGATTATTATAAGAAATTAATAGCATCATCATTATTATGAAAATATTAATAAATTATTTGTTAATTAATATGTGATTAAATATTTATAAGAATTGATGTAATTGTAATTAATAATAATAAAAAATAATCGAAACGTTTTATAAGATTTTGATATGAAAAAAATTATTATTTACGATAAATTAGAAATAAGTTGAATAAAACCATGGTCATATAATTCATTATATGAAAAAATGATAATTACTAATTTTAAGAATAATAATAAATAATAATAATAATAATAATAATAATAATAATAATAATAATAATAATAATAATAATAATAATAATAATAATAAACGGAAAACTAAAGAATAAATCACAAATTTATCCTGAAATATTTATTATCAAAATAAGAATTCATCATCATTCCAGGCATTTAAAAAATATATATATTTATTTTTTACTATAGAATCCATTTATAAATTTCCTTTGATATACTGTAATTAATAATTTAAAATTTTTGTTGATTTAAAAATTCAAGCTAAAAAAATGCCCACAATAGCATTATAAAATATTTTTTTTATCCTTAATTATTATATAATTTTTGTATTAAAAATCGATTGGAGTTGGTCACAAGTTCTAAAAGAAAAAATAAAAACAAATCATCAAACAGCACAATAACTATAAGAATAATAATAATAAAGATGTCGCCACTTCAAAATTTGATTTATTTGCTTCTTCACTTTATCTACTTTTTTTATTACTTTTTTCTTCTTTTTCCACCCCGAAACTGCTTCTACCAATTCTGGATAATATTTTTACCGCTAGTTCTAAATTATTATTCAAGTAATAAGATTAAATTTTATTAAAATTTATCATTTACATACTGTATAACCCATTTATTTGTTTTTTTATGTATGTACATACGATATATTTATTTTATTTATCTTATTTCGTTTATATGTAATAAAATCAATTATCATTTTTTTTAATTTAATTAATCATTTTTTAATTTAATTAATTGATAATTTAAGGAATATTTTTATTTTAATTAACCACCATTTTTTATCGTCATTAATATTATCATTATCATCAATAATCATTTCAGGAGTTTTCTTTTAATAATGACAACATATCATCACTGACATTTGTGTGTTGATATATGTATAGTATATTAATTATCTTGATTTTATAAAGTTTGAATCATTTTGAGAGCGTCCTCAATATCCTTATTGTTATTGTTATAGTTTCACATGCATCATGTTATTTAATCAAGGGTTCTATTTAATCGTTATATCAAAATATTATCTGGATTATTTTAGTTATTAACTAGAAAAAAATCAAATCTGTTTCAATTTTACGATAGACATTGTTAAGATTTCCTTATTAATATATTCATTAACAGAATAACATTGTTTTACTTTTTCCAACATGTCATTTCATGCTGTAATGCATAACGACATAACGTGGACATGGATTCATAGAAAATTTTTATTGAATTGCTTTAAAGGAAAATTAAGCGGAATTTATGCGTTTGAATTTTTAAAAAAAAGAAGGAAAATAAAGAAATGAGACGATAGATTTTTTTTTTTGATTAAGACAATTATTAATAGAACAATAAAAAAATTATCTATTACCACTTGACATAACAAAAAATTCTAAAGAAATGACTTGTGGAACATGATCCACATTTTATTATTTCGAAAGAACGTTTGCATAGAAAAATTTCGAGGCATGGAAGTTTCTTCGATTTATTATTATTATAGGAAAAAAAAATATGTGCATTACGTTACAATAATAATTAAATTTACTTTAAATAGTAATATGCATGAACTAAGTTTTTGGCAATTAATTTAATTTATTATCAGTTATTGTTCATTTTTGTTTTTGTGAGTGATAAACAATTTTCTGCATAGAAAAGTATAAAAATATAAAAAGAAGGATGATCTCTGTTTGTATCATCACGTTTACTCTCATTTAATTTCCTTATTTCGATTTTGGATAAAAATATTAAAGATCCAATGCTCTTCTTTAAAGTTGCGCCTTCTGAGTAATAAAGCAATCCTCGACTTCTCATTTGATTAATTTATGGATAGGCACTCCGTATTCTTTGTCTCGAACATTATTTTTTTTTGATTTCTACACGGAAATAATCTGTTACACGAAGCTATTTTTAGAATGTCACGAAATAATAAATATTTCTATATATGTATATTAAATAGAAAATTCTCCTGTAATATTGTAAATTCATTGAATCGTGACATTTTTAATTTTTGAGCCATGTTTCCAGGCTTTATTATATGTAGAAGACTTTTTTTTTTGATTCGCGGACTTTGAAATCCGTATTTTCTATTGTAATTGTATGATGACAATATTAATTAATATGAAACTTTTAAATCTCCAAAGTGGAGTTATGAGTTATTCATTTAATAAAACGTGATTACTATACTATATACTTTATTGTATCACGCAAATGTTATTTATGAAACGTTCATTCAGCCTTCATCTTCATCTGAATCGAAAGGTCATCTTAATATTAAAGTGAATCCTATCAATTAAAAAACAAAGTACAACTTCTAAAAAAAAATTTTTATCGAATCTATATAAACCCAAAGGTTAAGACTTTTTCAAAAAAAAACTTTATGTTGATAACAACCAACCCTAATATTCCAACAACATTTTTTTTTTTCATGTAGATTAGAATATCCTTATTAAATTAGGGCAAATTTTCTCGAATAGATTTTATATATATAGTGTTGTTTTCTTTAACGAAACCATCTAACCTTTTCAATTTTTATTATAAGATAATTTACATAAACCTTTTACTGACATTTTTAATATTATAAACTTTATTTTTTAAATATTTTCTTTTCATTAAAAAGGCTTTTATATAATTTCGTGTAAAAAGCAAAGAAAAATGGAAACTAAAAGTTTAACAACTAAATTGACCATAAAAAAATCTCATAAAAAGAAATTCAGTGAGGAAATACCTAAACATTTAGATATTAATAATGTATACCATCCAAAATACGATGTTACCCAATTAATGTCTACTAGACGTAAATTATGTGCTTCTAAAAATCCCCCTAGACCACCAAACGGTTATTTTTTGATGAAAAATTGTTATATGCTAGAATTACGTAAAATTGGAATAAAATTAACTATGCCTGAGTTGTGTATCCAATCGAAGCATTTGTGGAGAGAAGCACCAAAAGAAGTAAAAGATCTTTACGACAAAATACAATTAAAAGCTCAAAGCATCCACAATGAATTGTATCCGGGATATAAATTTAGGCCAAGAAAAAGGCAAACCTTTAAAATGCATGTTTTTCCCCACGAAAGTGCTACCAATATTACAACTTTTAGTTCCACAAATTATTTGAAAAGGCCTGCTTCTCAATTGGATAATTATTTATCAACGGAATCTGTAGTTAGATCTCCAGCACTTTCTAGTTCTTCAGTTTCCCCCGAAACTACTTATTCTACAGAAATTTCTACTCCCACATTTTCTGATCCTCTTGAATTTTCTCCACCACTTTCAAATCATTTTGATCAAATTTATATCGATAACGATCTAATACCTTTTTCAATTTTAAATGGAGAAGAATTTAATGAATCGTTGGAAAGTTTTAACCCATCTTTCGATTTTGCTCAAAATTTTCAACCTTCACAACGGTCGTGCTCTCATAGTTCAAACGAAATTTTAAATGTTCCTATAGGCACAGACAACATTTTTTTTGACTTAGAACAAAATTTCAATCTTATAGAAAACAATGAAAACAATGGATATCCATTTTATTAAATGAAATGTTTATAATTAATTATTTATTATATCTTGTAATATAGGCCACTCGTTTTTTTTCTTTCTTTTTCCTTTTCCTAATTTTTTTATGCTATTTTTTAATTTATTAGACTGTTTATAATCAAAAATGATGTAACTTTTCGTATATATACTTTCCGAAAATTATTTCGATATTGGCATTTCCTCGTTTTTTTTTAATCCTCTCGTTTTATTCTTTACGAATGGCAAACTTTCAATCTGATTAAAATTCTTTTCGTTCCCTTTCTTTACTTCCTTTTTTTTTTGTAATTACTATTATCAGTTTTAAAACGATGCAATCGATTGCTGATCACAATAATATGTTATTATCGTATATTCGTACTTTTGAATTCAAAAATAAACGTTATTTTATTTTTGAAAATGATATGCTGTTGAAACTAATTTTAAACACTGCATTAATTTGCATGATATCGACATCTAATTTGGGCGAGACGTGTGACAGATCCAATTGCCAAATCCCAAAAGGCAAAATGCATTCTATTTTTAAATAATAAAAAATAGAATTGATTTGCAGCGACTTCCGAGGTTGTCATGTGACAGTTATTACAATTGTTAAAATATTTATTTGCGTATTGAAAATATAATACTAAATTACATCCTTTTTTAATGATCCAATATTTTTAGCATGGTCTGTTTTAATATGGAATAATAAATAGTTTTTAATTCCACTTAATTCCATTTCTTTCCTTAAATCTCCTTTTAAGTTAAATTAAATGTGAAACTATTTAGAAAATTATTTTTATTTAATTTATTGATTATTGAAATTTTTTCATATACAAGGATTATATCCTATGATAATATAATATCTGTCATCATTGACAACGCTTCTCGAAAATATTTAGTTCTTTTTAATGGACTTTGAATAATTTAATTTCGGTAAATTTGTCTGTTTCTATTATAATATAATTTTTTCTATAATTCGGAATGAAATTAAAGGACTCGGACTTAAATTGTATGCAATATCTAGGAATTTGGTTAAAAAATCATCTATCTATAATATTAAATAATAGAAAAATCGAAAAACTTAATAATTTACTGTCCTAGAATTTTTATCTCTTTTGAATCCCGTTCATTTATTTAATTATTTATTCCATTGGCGCAAAAATTATATTATATTACATTCATCTGGAATATTCATAAAGCGCATATTTTTGAAAATTCTCACGTGCTTGATGTTACACCATAGACTATCGGAAATTAATTAATATTTATTTATCATTATTTAGTAAAAAAATATAAATTAAATACACACATTGAGTTAGTAAGAATTAAAATTTTTGAAGATGAATATTAGATTATAATGAAGTTCTTTACTAGAATCTCTTTTTTTTTTTGAAATAAGTAGGTCAGGGATAAAAAATTTTAGGACGTAGGTAATAATAATATAATAATGGTATATTACTTAGTAATTATTAATAATTTAATTTATTTTATTTTTTTATTTTCACAAATATATATACATGAAGTAGAATAAATATTTAATTTGACATAATATATTTAAAGAAAAACGTTAAACAGAATAATTTTACATCCGAAATATTTGATACTTTACAAATTTACTAAGTATAATTTTTTCTTAATTAGTTTTGAGTCCAAAACAGAAAAATTATATAAAGAGACCAAAGTATATCTGGAATCCTTGCGGGGTCAGTACTATTTTATTAAACATTCAATATTCACATATATGATTAATTAAATATCTTCATTATAATAATAAAAAGCTATTAATAGTAAAAAGGTACATATTTCAGGCGCTATTGAACACTTTTAGAAGCCATTGATAGTTTAGAAAGAGATTTTAAATCTTGCTTGGTTGTTTTATGAAAAATTGTGATTTGTTAAAATCAATTAATTTATTTATTTACTAATTAATCTTGATTGGAATATATGCAATATTATTTATAATCTTAAACTCATTTTCTTCATGTAAAAGATAATATTAAAAATGAGAAAAAAATTATTAGATTCTGATGCGAATCGGGCAAACGTTCAAAAGTTGATTCATCTGAAATAATAATAATTATAATAAAAATAATAATAAAATTAACTTTAATTTTAATTTTATTTTTTAATGATATTTTTTCAGGCCGAAGAAGCAACAAATACTGTACGACAACTTTATGAATCATTTGAACGATCAATTAGTAAACGATCAATTGACCTTAGAGTTGCTTATATAGATCCTCATTTGAAGCTTTAGTGAAAATTCGGGTTAAATTTTGCCGAGAGATACATGATATGTTAAATTCATTACAAAATTATTTTCAATGAATTTCCAATAGACAGTAATAAAACTATGAGATTTGGCTACTCGTGGAATTTTATTATTTTATAGATTCAGACACGATAATAGATAGATAGATAGATATATTACTTTAAAATTAAATAACTTTTAAACTCCGTTATTTTTTTTCATTTTGCTTGTAATTTTTTTTTATTTTTTAAAAAAACGATTAACACAAGTGATTTTCAACCAATAGAAATAAAACACATGATACCAGGTGATAGGAAATTATTTCACATACAAGTTAATGTAACAAATATTAGTTGTGGTCCCGCATGTCAATAAAAATGATATTATACGTTTATAAATATCTCCGAAAACCCTAACCTTAACCTCTGCGGCACGAGATGGTGAAATTCGATAAAATTTGGTGCACAACTTGATGCACCAGAGGGGCACCATTGGTGCGACTTGATGATTTAGTTTCACCATCATCTCTACTCAACACCACTGGTGTGATATAAAATTTTCGATAATCGGTTTACAAAAAGTGAAATATGATATTATTGATAATAAAGACTTATTATGGTAAATTGCCAAGGGAATAAAATGAAAAAGATTGAAAATTAGTTGATAAAGTAATTAAATTTTAATTTTATTCATTCAATCACATTTATATTATATCATTTGAAGAATAATATTTAATTTGTCTATATAGTTTATATATCACATCGACGATCGGAATTATTATTACATAACAAGAGACGGTCGGAATTATTATTTACGCTGTTGTGCTCTTTTTTTTTTTAACGAATGTTCCTTTTTGTTGGATTGAAATAATGGTAATGGTAGTGTTATTTTATTAGATTTTTATTAGTATGCGAGGATTCCTCATAAACGTAAATTGGAATCAAATATTGTATTCCATGAGTCTTTTGTTTTCATTTTGTAGCCGATCGTTGCGAGCATTAAATTTAGGCCACTGCCATTTGAAAATAATAATAATAATATGATCTCAACGAATACTTTAAACTGTATAAGTATTTATTATTCTTGCTTAATAATTGATCAAATCAAATGAAAATTATGAAATTAAGAATTTTTATATTTATTCATGATAAAGAATATACAGTAAAAAATATTTGAAAAATCTATAATACACAGAAGATTATATAAAAAACGAAAAAAAACCGCTCTATGAATGATGAATAAAAAAAACGTTACATCAACGGTATTCGGAAAATTTTAGGACATTTAAAATTATAATCATACATACTAAGGCTTCCAAATCCTGCATTCTTCACCTAAGCCCCACGTTTCAGCGTTCTTTTTAATTTCTTTTAAAGAAATATCAATTTCATCTTGATCATAGTGATCTTTATTGACCTATAATAAATAATTGATGATACAATAAATGATTTAGTAATAGATATCATAATAATAATAACAATAAAAATAATAATAAAATTTACCCATCGCGTCAAGTTATATTTGGTTCTAGCGTGGGTCTCGCCAATAAACCAAACGTCTATTTCTTCATTTTTTCTATTTGCATATAGTTGGCCGCTTCTATCATAAGATTGTGCAGCTGGCCCAACTTCAACCGCTTCACAAAACATGACCTTCTTATTATTGATGAAATTGTTGGTATCACACCCATATGGAGGTGGACACGCGATTTTGACAGTATAATTCTATATTGAATTAAAATCAATTGTAAATTTCTTTCAAATCAATAATCATAATAATAACTAATGAACATAATGACAATAATGTGAGGAATTTCCTTAAATGTAATTTCTCTAAGCTCAAATATAAAAATAAATACATACATAACGGCGGAGTTTATTTTTGCCGAACAAAGACGGCATATATTTTCTGAGGCCACCGTTGTTGCTGTTCTCTCTCTTATTGTCGTATTTGTCATTGATATTGACGAATTTTGATTCCATTATTGTGGATAATAAAGATTATAAGAGTAATTTTAACTATTAATGAAGGCTTTTAATAACGAGAATATGAGTTGAAGAGTTGAAAGATAAGCTAAATAATACCGAAGTTAAGTGAAGAGTCAAAAGTGATTTGAGGTGAAAAATAAACATTAGCGATTTGTTTACATAGATAATAAATAGATCAATTGTGTTACCAATCAGCGGTGCAGATCATTTTTATTATAAAGATTATCAAATTTATCACATGAATTAAACATGTGGAATCTTTCTGATCGGTCGCCTTTGCCAATACCCTGTAAAAGTCTATACCAGGGTATTGGATAAGACCTAATGTCAGCATCAGGTGATCTTAAAGATTAAATAAAAAGATATTCAAAAAGTGCAATATATGGTGATAAATAACTACTCCTGATAAACCCTAACCTAACCCGTGTAAGGTAGTTGCACGTATACCTCCCGGATCAGGTCAAGATTTACCTAATAATCAGGGGCTATTCGATCGAGTCATTAAAAGATGCTGACGTTGATTGTTATTTGCTACATATTATAATAACATCTGATAAATTAAAATTAAATAATTAGATGAATTAAATCCCTCCGGGCCATATACTAGTTACTGTTATTACTATTAACAAAGAATTACAAATAATTGATAATCCAGGCCAGGAAACTTAAAACCATAAGTTTTTCGTTCAACTCATGATCAATTGTTACGGATAAATTCGGATGGTCATAAGGTGATAGAAATTCGTCTTTGAGAAATTTTTTCTTTAATCTTCACTTGATGACGATTTGTTATGTTGATATATTAATATAAATGTTAGTGAGATTTACGAGGGAAAAATTTTTTTTAAAAATTTTTAAATAAGGTAATTTATGTTCATTCTGCTCTATATGTCTGTTTATGTGTTGATTAATTAGGATATTTGAAAAATTATTAAATTTATTTTTTTTTAGAGTAATAAACATCCGGCATTATTAGTTAAGATTACGCCTGATCTTTAAATAAAGAATCAGGTGATATTTCTGATGCAGTGATTTGAGGCAATGTCTTGTCTAATGCAACCATTTCAAGACCAGAAACTTTGCAAAGTGGTGGTTAGTAATAAGCTTGATTATTACTATTATTTTAGCCTTTATTCTAATTTTTATTTAAATTTTACAATTATATACTAGTCTAAGTTATTATGATGCGAATAAAATAAGAGAAATTAAAGGTAAATTAATTAAAATATTTATTTATGTGGTTCACATATAGATATTGTATTATTAATAAATTGTGTTAATAGAATCAAAATTTTTTCATTTTAGTTTACATTTAAATATGGGAATATGTTGAAAACATTAATTTAATTACCTTTAAGAATTTTATTTTCTTCCTGTTATGGAATGCCTGATAAACGGATCGTAACTTTAGAACATCTAAAATATCATAGACTGACAAATTTTAAGATTAAATTTCTTGTATGCTTAAATTTTTATCTAAAATAAAATTATTTTTTTTTTTTTAAAAAAAAAGACAATCCTAATATATAAGATTCTTTTTATCGTTTATTTTATTTATTTATAAAAAAATAATCATGAGAGAATGAACTATTAATATTTAACTTATTTACAACTTATTTACTAAGATACATTCCCGTTCTATCATTTTCCCGTGTTAATTGCTCTCAGTATCACCTTATAAATTTCGAAATTAACCATTACACAATTTTGTTATTATAACAGTTATAATAGTTGTAAGAGGCATCACATAGAGGAATTCACTTAAAAAAAGAATTGAGCTAAAAAACTTTGAAGGAATATATTGGATATTTTATTACTTAAATTTTAGAAATCAAAAAATATTTACCCATATGAATATAAAAAATCACCCAATTAACAAAATTTTCATTTAGAAATAATTTATTACATTATATTCATAAATAACTCAAAATGTAAAATAAAACACAAATACGAACAAAAAATTTCGAAACAAAGTTGAAATTACTCATCAATTGGTTAAATCTAAAATTCGACATTCTTCAATATTATCTCTTGATCCTTGAACTTTTTGGTTGGCATTTTTCAATGCCACACATACTTCCTCATGGTTTTGTATGTTATTGTTTATCTTTGTTTTCAAATATTATAAATTAATATCTTATAAATCGTAACAATATAACATACAAGATAATTTAAATCAGAAATATATTTATTTACCCGTTATATTTCGTTTTTGCTTCTCTCACCTGTGAACCACACATTAATTTTATAGTTCTCTTCTTTTTGACCAAGTTTATCACAGCGATCAAATTCATCAACAAAATCTGAGATCTCGATAAGTTAGAAAATTTAACCTTCTTAATTAAATTTTTATTATTAGTGTTGTTTATGGTGGTGGTGGCGAAATTGATTTTTGAAATAGAGTCAGCAATTTACACAGTGTATTTCTATTTTAAAAAATAAAAATTTAGGTTCGATATAACAATATGACAGAGTATAAAATAATAATAATATAATATAATAATAAAATGATAACAAAATCTAAAATTATAAATAAATGTTGATAATAATTATTTGCGTATTCCCTTATTTATTATCGTAGTAAATGTGAAATAAAGTAAAGATTCTTTCTAAATAATCAAAGATAAGATATTAATCTACTTTTATATAGAAAAAATACATCACATGAAATTATTGAAATGATTACATCAGTAATAGTCATTCACATGTGGGATTTTTTTTAGATTTTCCAACACGAAAATTCATAAATACACAGATAGAACCTTTACTCCGTCTTCAGTAAGCGATATGTTATTTGTGCAGTGGTTATTTTTACTTAAAAAAAATTAAATCTTTAAGTTAACTAATTAATTGGCTAAACCTTTTATTATTCGATCATCCAAATAAATTAATTTTAACAGTTATTAAACTTGAAGCATTTTAATTTTCAAAAATGAATATTATAATTTTGGATTTATTGTTTTCTGTTTAATTTTTCTCAAAATTTTAATAAAAATCTAACATTAATAAATTGATCAAATCAATTGATAATTAAAAAATAAATCTAATTAATCTAATAATGAATTAGATCTATAAATTATAACAGATATAGTTCCTTAAAAATTAGTTATTTTAATATGTATTTTTTTTATTATAAGTTACTCTATGAAAATTTGTTTGACTAATTTATAGTTGATTATATTCCAATGCAACAAAGAGAATGAAGCAAAAGAAACTCTAAAAGTTTCTCAATAATAATGGTTTAAACTATATAAATTTCAGAGTATTGCAAAGAGGAGGTTAAGTGGTCGTTTCATTTTCATATTATAATTAGAGTATACTTATTAGTTTAATTGTTTAACTAGTATTTCTTATTCCCTTTAATTTCATCTTTCCCAATTTCCACATTCACTAAAAATTTTCTCAGTTCCTTCACATCTAATCCACCCCTAAAATCTACAAAATTAATATAAATGTTAAAATGTTTACCTGAAATTCAAAAGTTTTTCTTGATTACAATAAAACCAATGATTTATATCTTGAGTCATTGAATTACCACTTAATCACTGATAAATTCTACTAAATTATTATACTTATGGGAATAAATTAATAAATAATATTATTGATAAAATAATAATAATTAACCTGAAATTCAAAATTTTTCTCAATCATGATATAACCAATGACTTATATCTTCAGTCATTAATTTAATTGCTTGCAGCCAACCTATAAATATTTATAAAATCATTAAAATTAATATAATGTTGAAAATAAATTACTAAATTAATATTAATAATATTAATAAATTACTAAAATATTTACCTGAAGTTACAATATACATTCAGTCATTGTATTATAATCCCATAAAGCGAGGGATTAATTTTATTTTGATAATTCAATCAAAAGTGTATTGTGTATATATATTTTTCATATCTTAAATCAAAATACAGAACATTAGTAATGAATAAGCTTGACAGCTGGTAGTATGAGGATAAAACATTTTACTTGTGGTGAAAGAATAACTATCTCAAAGATTAGGCAGAGTATAAAAGCAACTGGAGCCTTTTTTTAGAAACAAAAATAAAGCTGTGCTATCTGTTATTATGGCTAAACCATATTAATTTCAGACAGTTGGGTTGGTCGAATGATCAAAAATTGGCAAATTTTTTGGCAATTCGAGCCAAAAAATCACCTAGAATCAACCATCTGATCTTCAAATCACCTGAAAATCAGCAAATTAGCAATCCAGTTTTTGAACAATTTTTGATAATAAAAAAGAAAAAATTGATAATTTTTACTTTTTTTTTATTTGTAAAACATCAAATTGTTACTGAGTAAAATTATAGCTGAGAACTAAATAAACCTACTGAAAAAATTTTAGACCTAAATCTCACAAACTAAGGAAAAGAGGGATATTTAAATTTTGAAGCTTAATTTGTAATTTAAATCCTATCTTTCCATCAATTTGTGAGATTTAGATCTAAACTTTATTCAGTAGGTTTATTTAGTTCTTAGCTCAAATTTTACTTAATAACATTATTGCAATTTAGTTATTAAATTAAAATCTGTTATATGTTTTTTTTTTTTTTTTAATTCCAACGGAGTCACATTTTATTAAACAATTTATTTTGCAGTTGATAAAAATTAAACAAATTTATAAAAACTACAAATACATTTAATGTAACTGGCTATGGCTAAATTAATAACACAACGGTCCAATTATCGCTGCTCTAATGTTACCTAAAACTACTGATGGTCATGCCCCTGCTCATCTCTTTTTGACCAATCTGAGCAAAAAGTTGCTGGAAAGGAATACTAACCCATCGAGAAGCTATAGATTAGGAAACTGTATACTAATATTTGTACAGAAAAAATTTAGATAGAAGATTAATAGTAGAAAATATTTGTATCCACTAATATTAAAACTAATTTTTAGAGCAAGAAATTACATGAAATCCTATGCACCTCCCCAATTAGTTTTTGGATAATG